GTGCAAGATGGGCCAAGGAGTGGCAGATGGAGTTTAATTTAGACAAATGTGAGGTATTGTGTTTCAGTAAGGCAAATCAGGGATGGACTTGCACACTTAACGGTAAGGCTCTTGGGAGTGTTGCTGAACGAAGAAACCTTGAGGTGCAGTTTCATAGTTCTTTGAAGGTGAAGTCGCAGGCACACCGAGTAGTGAAGAATTTGGAACAAAAACAAAGTTGCTGGAAAAGCTCGGCAGTTCTGGCAGCATCTGTGAAAGAAAAAACAGAGTTAACGTTTCGGGTCCGGTGACCCTTCCTCAGAATTTGTGAAGAATTTGTTTGGTACCTTTGCCTTCATTGGTCAGTGCATTGAGTATAGGAGTCGGGGCGCCATGTTGTGGTTGTACAGGACATTGGTTAGGCCACTTTTGGAATACTGCATTCAGTTCTGGTCTCCCTGCTATAGGAAGGATATTGTTAAACTGGAAAGTGTGCAGAAAAGATTTACAAGGATGTTGCTGGGATTGCAGGATTTGAACTATAAGGAGAAGCTGAATAGGCTGAGGCTATTTTCCCTCGAATGTTGGAGGCTGAGGGGTGATCTCATAGAGTATAAAATCATGAGGGGCATGGATAAGGCGAATAGCCAAGTTCTTTTTCCCAGGGTAAGGGAATTCAAGTCTAAGAGACATAGGTTTGAGGTGAGAGGGGAAAGATTTAAAAGGAACATAAGGCGCAACTTTTACACTTTGAGGGTGGTGCATGTATGGAATGAGCTATCAGAGGAAGTGATAGAGGCTGGTACAATTACAACATTTAAAAAACATCTGGATGGGTACATGAATAGGACTTGTTTGGAGGGGTATGGGCAAAATGCTGTTAAATGGGACTAGATTCATTTAGGATTTTTGGTTGGCATGAACGGGTTGGACTGAAGGTTCTGTTTCCAAGCTGTGCAGCTCTATGGCTCAATAGTGTCAATCTTGCCATCACAGCGAATGGTAATGAGGAGGAGCATTGATGTATTTAAGGCAAAGAGAGATAAATACTTTTGGGAGAAAGTTGGATGATATGGTGATGGGTGAGATGTTGTTCGGTGGGACAAGTGGCCTGTTTCTCTAATGTAGATTCATGAGCCCTCATCTTGCCAGTTATCCTTTGTGTGGGACTTTGGCAAATACTTTTTGGAAATCTAGTTTTCTTTTATATTCATTAATGGGTTAGGGCATGGCTGTCTTGGCAAACATTTATTGTCCATCCCTAAGCATCAATCACTTTGCTGCGGGTTTGAAGTCACATGTAGGCCGAAACAGATAAAGATAGCAAATTTCCTTCCCTAAAACACATTTGTGAATCAGATGGGATTTGGTTACATGGCCATTATTTATACTCACTTTTTATTTCAAACTTCCCTTGAAATCATGTTCTACCATCTACGTCGGTGGGAATCAAACCCACGTCAGCAAAATATTAACCTTGAATTCTCACCTGTCAGTCCAGTGACGTTACCATTACATCACTGCTTTCCAGTAGTATGTTACATCTGTGGTTCCTTATTATCTACTTTACTAGCTAAACCCTCAAAAAGACTCCTGAATTGTCAAATGCAGCTGTGGATCCTCTGGCAACTTCCTCATATCTAGGGAAGATTGTTGTGAGCCCTTCCCCTATCTCCATGCCCACCTCTTCCAGAAGCCTGGAATGCAAGTCATTCAAACCAGGTGACTGAACACAGGAATAGCCATCATTTCCAGTACCACCTCCCTCTCAGTTTTCACCTTTCCATTGCTTCTTCTGTCTTTGCTGATGTAAGGTGTGTATGACTTGTATGTTGTTAAAATATACATATTTTAGAGTTTGGATTTTGAACTAGTTCATGTGGGTTTTGGTCTGTGCATGAGGGATTTGATGATTAAATGCAAATATTTCTGTAGCCATGGTGTCTTTTTTAAAGGAATAATATGACTGAGAGACATCCAGAGTGTGGTGGGTTTTGTTTTCATTAGATGAGTTTTCAGAGTGGATGGAGTAATGTATTAAGCTTCAGTTAGAAAATTCAGATGTTGTGTATATTTTGGGCTTCGGGAAGCACCAATAGCTTGAAGAAAACTTTTAGTTTTGGTTTGGCAGTTTGTAGAAGTCTTGCCTGAAGCTGAATGTGTAAAACATTTGCTCCTAAAGGGAAAAGCTCAGAACTTTACAAAATAGGTTACCTCAGTATAAGGAGTTCAGTTTGAAAGTTCCAGACACAGAAGTGTTTGGTTAAACCCCTTGAAGAGGTTATTGGTGACTGAGAAAATTGAAGCTCAGTTGTTTGAAGATTCAAAGAAACATAGGAGCAAGTGTAAGCCATTTGGCCCTTTGAGCCTGCTCCACCACCCAGTATCATCGGTGATGATTCCCTCTCTCAAAACCACTATCCGTACTTTTTCCCCATACCTTTTGATGCCTTTAAAATCTAAAAATTTACTTACCTTTTTCTTAAATATTTTCAGTGACTTGGTCTCCCTAGCCTTTGGGGTGAGAATTCCATTGATTCATTAACCTTTGACCAAATAAACGTTTCTGTTTCTCAATCTGAAATGGCCAACCCCTGTCTTGGTACTGTGACCCCTGGTTCTTGACTCTGCAACCAAAGAAAACATCCTCTCTACATCCAGTTTGTCCAGCCCAGTTGGAATTTTGTATGTTTAAATAAAGACCCCTCTCATCCTTCTGAACTGTAATGAAGACAAGACCTAGTATATAACTGTGGAAACAATAATTTGCCTTTTGGTTTTCACACTGAAATGTATTGCTTCATAATTCTGAAGAAGGGTCACTGGACCCGAAACGTTAACTCTGCTTTTACTCCACAGATAATGCCAGACCTGCTGAGTTTCTCCAGCAATTCAATTTTTATTAGCCATGTTGTGTTACCTTGGCCATGTACTCGTCCATTCACTCAACTTATCAAAATCATTTTGAAGCCTCCTTGCATCCCCCTCACAACTCTCAATCCTGTCCAGTTTTGTGTTGTCAGCAAATTTGGAAAATGATGCATTTGGTTTCCTCATCCAAGTTATTTATATGTTTCATGAATAGTTGAGGCCCAAACACTGATTCTTGTGGTACTCCAATAATCATTGCATGCCACCTGGAAAAACACCCATTCCTACTCTCTCTTTCTTCTTTGTCAACCAATTCTCAATCCGTGCCAATACAGTACCCTCTATCCAATGTGCTTTAATTTTTCTCAGTAACTCTTATAAGATGTTACCAAAAGCCTTCCAAATCCAAACTCATCACACCCACTGGTTATCCCTTATCTATTCTACTAGTTACATCATCAAAAACTCCTGTCAATTGGTTTAGTGACTTCATCTTACATAAACCCAAGCTGGCTTTGAAAACTCAGGTTAATGTTTTCCAAGTCTTCTGTTATTATGTCTTTTATACTAAACTCTAGCATTTTTCCCATTACTGATGTTTTCTCTCCCTCGTGTTCTAAACAATGAGGTTATGTTTCCCACTCTCCATTCTGCAGGAACTGCTTCAGAATCTACAGAATTTTGGAGCAAAACGTTCAATGTATCCAATATTTCTAGGGCCATTTCTTTTAGTATTCTGGGATCTAGACCATCAGACTCTGATGATGTATCGCCCTTAAACCCTATTAATTTACTTAGCACTACAGGTAGTTCTGCTATAACACATGTTTCAATAACGTGACAACAAGGTGCAGGGCTGGATGAACACAGCAGGCCAAGCAGCATCATAGGAGCAGTTGGCTGTAACTCGATTGGTGAATAGCAGGTGCTGTTGGATGATGTGAACTTTCTGCAGTACAGGTATAGCGATTTCCCTATAACGCGATTTTCTATAACGCAAGGTCACGCAAGAACACGACAATCATGTTATAGAAGAACTGCTGTATTTTATAATGAATACTGAATTCCTTCAATTTCTCCCCCTAACTAGACCTAACACTTGTGGGACGTTATTTGTTGTACCCTCTTTTGCGAAGACAGAGCAGAAATATGTGTCCAGTTCTTCTGCCGTTTCTTTGTTCCCGTTCTAATTTCCACAGTTTCTGACTATAAAGGACCTATGAACATTTGTCTTTATTAATCTTTTTTGCTTCACATAGTTGTAGAATTTTTATGATAAATTTTTGTTTTTTGCAATTTTGCTCTGATATTTCAATTTCCTGGTCTTGATCAAACTTTTTCTCCTTTTTTGCTAAATTCTGGCTTGCTACTTTTTCTGGCAATTTTATTTGTCTCCTTTTTGGATCTAATACTATCGCTGATTTATTTTTAAATCATGAGTGATCCACATTTCCTATTTTTGAACCAGGCAAGCATGAATAATTACAGTAATGCATGCACATATTCTTGAAATATTAATCATTGGCTATCCACTGTCAATCCTTTTAGTAAAGTTCCCCAATCTATTCTTGCCGATTCGTGCCTCATACGCTTATAGTTTCCTTAATTTAGATTCAGACCCTTATATGGATTCTACTACTTCACTCTCTATGTTAATGAAGAATTCTATTATAATATGGCCAATCTTCCCGCAGGAAGGGACCCTCACAACCACATTTGTTAATTAGTTCTTCCAGTCTTGGAATAATCTGAATGGTGAGTAGCATGCATAGAGACCTAAAGGAACCCTGCTGGGGGCAGGGGGAAGAAAAGCTGAAATGCGCAGAAGAGTTCTGCATTTGAAAGAGTCAGTCAGCAGCTGCCACCCTGGTCACTGGTAAATAAGTACATTTTAGGAATAACGGGAATGATCAGTTTAAGAACTCATTCTCCATCTTTCCTTTTTTCCACAGACTGACCTGTGCATTAATTGGAGCAATTCTTGAAATTATTTGAACTATATTTGTAAATCAATTTTAAAAACTCCTTATTTCAGCATTATTAATCTGAAACACCTTACTTTCTTAGTAGCTTAATATTATCATATCAATAATTATGTTTTATGGCTACCATGATTTTTAAAAAAAATTATGTCTTTTGTCTTCAAAAAGGTCTTAAAGAAGTAGCATCAAAAGTGACCAGAGCTGTTAGCCCAACTATCCCAGACAACTATCAGAGAGATAATCAAACTCTATTACTACAGGTATGTACAGTGTTTCCACACTGTGGTCCATGCTTGGCAGTTGTAAATTTGCATGGTGCCATTGCAATCCTCTTGCAGTGAGATCCAGATGCTGTTTCTGTAGGTATATAGATTGCTCCTGCATCTTTGTAAAGATGTTGCAGTTTGGGCCCAAATTCTGTTATTGTTAAAAAAGCATCGTAAAATAATAAATTGTTTGATTAGTCTAATTTTATTGCTGCTTCTTACTCCGCAACCAAGTTCAGGCCGTACTAGTGGCCACATTAACACTAGAATAAGTAAAGTCAACTTCAGTAACAAAAACATTTCCAACTTCTAGCAAGTGAAATTTTACAATTTTGAAGTATTTAAAGTTCAGAGTATATATACTGGAAAGATTAAGTGGGGTAACTACTGGTCCTTCAGACCCATAATTTTGTGAACTGGTGCAACTTGACCTGACCCAGCTCCTCCAATCCAAGGTTCTCGCCTTCCTGCTTTTACTATTCCTCTATTTTCTAAGACTATGTCTGGAGAAGCAACAAAAGCAGGAGAGAGAAAACCTGTAATTGGAGGAGCTGGAGTAAAAAGTACAAGAGAAGCAACTCTGCCTCTTCCATGTACCAGGTTAACATGCATTCTCTTGCACTTTTTGGCTTTTCATTGAATTTTCAAGGGCTTTCCAGAAAGTTTGCGGACAAATTCGATGTCTTTTGAGCCCTATGCCAAAGGTTTTCCATATTTAGTAGCCTTTGCAGTGTGTATGTTGTATTATTGATCTACAGCTTCCTGTGGTGATGATATTTCTTCTTACTGTTTGCTTTTATTGTTCTCTTCCCAACACCCAACTCTCCAAGGTTGAAGCCTTGCAGTCTCAGTTGCAGGAGCAGACACAGTTGGCGAAAGAACAAATTGATGCATTGTTGGAGGATCGAAGGATTCATATGGAGGAGGCACATGTGCAGCATGAACGGGATAAAGACAAAATCAAATCTCTGGCAGAGAAGTCAGTTAATGCAGAGTGCAACAATCAGTAATTGCTGTGAACCAGCTCTTAATTCCTGCCCATGTTACATAATCTGCTGCAGCTCTGTGACCAAGATAGGGTGCACTATGGAACGATGTTGAGTCACAAATGGCATGTCTCATGTGGAATTTTCCTAGACTTTGTGAGTCATACAAGAAAATATCACAGGATCCATTTGCTGGTGGCAAGCCAGGGCAGCATGGTGGCTCAGTGGTCAGCACTGTTGCCTCACAGCGCCAGAGATCCAGATTCGAGTCCATTCCCTGACAACTCTGTGTGGAGTTTGCACATTCTCCCCATATCTATGTGGATTTCCTCCGGGTACTCTGGTTTCCTCCAGCAATCCAAAGATGTGCAGGTTAGGTGGATTGGCCTTGCCAAATTGCCCAGTGTTCAGAGATGTGCAGGCTAAATGGATTAGCCATGGGAAATGCATGGTTACAGGGGTGGGTGGGCTCTTCAGAGGGTCAGTGTAGACTAGATGGGCCGAATGGTCTGTTTCAACACTGTAGGGATTCTATGATTCTGTTGAGTGATATCGACTGAGGCAATAGCACCAAAAGCTTGTATTTTTATAGCACCTTGTATCGTAAAATGTCTGAAGGTACCTCAGAGAATTATTATTGAACAAAATTTGACAGTAACCTGCCCCAAGAAAGGGTAGAATTGAAGGAACATCTTAAAGTGGGAATAGTAAGGAGGAACTTTTCACAAGAGAATTCCACAGCTAGCCAGGCTGAGGGAATTAAAACTGAGGTGGACAAGAGGGCAAAACTGATTATACTCTCCACGTGGCTGGATGAAAGTAGCCCCAAGAGCACTCAAGATGCTTGATCCCATTCATGTCAAAGGAGCCTGTATTATAATCACCCCATCCACATGCTAAACTTTCACTCACTCCACCACCAAGACAGAGTGCTGGCAGTGTGTTCCAAGTAAAAGATGCATTTCAGCAACTCACTAAGCCTCCTTCAATAGCACCTTTCAAGCCAGCAACTCTATCACCTAAGATAACAAGGTGTAGAGCTGGATGAACACAGCAGGCCAAGCAGCATCAGAGGAGCAGGAAGACTGACGTTTCGGGCCCACACCCTTCTTCAGAAATTTTTCTGAAGGAGGGTCTAGGCCTGAAACGTCAGCCTTCCTGCTCCTCTGATGCTGCT